TGTCAGTTGGTTTACTGCTGCGCTTGCCCTCTTCATCAACTGGTTAAGAACGGGCTAGCGCCGCGCCAAACATAGCCATTCTGACACGCTCCAGCGCCTGCAGCGAAAACGAGTGTACTTCTGCGGCACAATATAGGCATGGGCGCAAAGCGTCGGACGGAGAGAGGATTAAACCTCTACCAGGATTTCACACACTTTACGAAGCTTTTTCAAGACTAACGAAAGCAATGTGATGAGTTTTCCATCGTGTAGTAGTGGTGAACGTAAGAACTACAAAGCGCAGATGCGTATGGAGTAGAGAAAAATATTCGCCACATGTGTGCCTACGACAATCTTAGGATTCATCGTTCATCACACTCAGCATTCATGATAGGTCTTACACTACCTCAAAAAACCTTGGTCTGTACGTCCCGTGTGTACGCTGGCTCTCGCCACCAGTAAATGCGGGACTCTACCGTTTCACACGGGACTTTCAGTAAGCCTTGTCAATCATACATTAGTTGTGCCACTTCGTATGCGCTCAACAAGATAGACTTTCGCGCATCCAATCAGATTCGGGACTGCGCTGATGTTTTGATGCACAGCATGAAGTAGAGAATTCCGCTCATTACAGTCTCTTGCTTATACCACAACGAATAGCACCCAGCTCAAAGTTCGGTGAGATCGTGATCCTCAGGGCCCAGTCCACCATGTTCCACTTAAGCGCTGGTGGATTGCGCCTTTGAGGGAGAAAATTTAGTTGAAACGTCAGGCTATCATAACTCTACTAACTAGAAGATACTCCCATAACTTGAGCGGGAACCTGACCAGATCGGTAAACTACCTGCTGAATGCTGTTGGATGCATCCCCGCTGCTAAAATTCCCTGCATCTGCATGCATACCATTGGTGGAAGGAACACTTTGATACGTCCCCTGCAGCAAAAAAGGTACCGGTCCTGCACTTATCCTCGAAAGTCCATTTAGTGATGCTCATCATATGTCTCTAAACCTCTTATAGGTCCGGTCCAATCGAGAATGTGAAGGGCATGAGCTAAGGTGATGGATAACACGCATGAGCTAGAATCAGCTCCATTAACCGCCATTCAGTGGCGAACATTGTTCTCAGCATCATCTGAATGAGCCTAGGGCAGCGGCACTGCGCCATCGTGAGTATTTTCGTGGGACCAAACCTCGTCATGGCAGCCAGGAGTCCCATTTTTCAGTGTTAGACAAGAGGCAACACAATATAGCATTTTCATCGCTCGTTCTGTGTTGTACAAGAGACATGAACACATAGCCCAAATATGAAAATATGCTCCAAAAAAGCTGCCACCGCCACGCTCAGATTGAAGTACGGCAGCCCCTACCTACCGGCGTCTTGGGGATATCGAGTATGCTTAAAGGCAGCGCCCACGTTCATTTGATGTTCTCGCGCCCTCTCTGGATATCATAGCCCTCCCTATGAGGATGCAGTATGTACTAGTTTTGCATCTCAAAAAGGCGAGAAGGATAGCGCCGTCGCTACTGAAGAGCTCCGCCCCTGGGCCAGCATAGGGTTCTATATAGGGAATTTCCATGATTTTTTTCTGCTTTTTTTTCTTTTAACTGGATCACTATTATATGAGCTCCATAACTCATTATTCTTGAGATCAGGCCCAGCCTAAAGGGCTAAGCCAAAGCAGTTATGGCAGCCAGGTTAGGCGGGGCGGCATCATCTTCACAAGCGGGTGGCGCCATTCCTCTCATGTTTGAGCTGCGAAATTAGTACATTTTTCACCCACTTGTCGACAAAGCACGAATTTCAAGGCAGGGCGTATGGAACATTAAATAAACGCGGGCTGCTTTCGGACCCTTTGAATGAAGTGAACCCGGATCGGTTCCCGCCCTGGCCCGCCTAGTCATGTGTCTATCTCCGGGGCTAGTAAATCTGGTACTAGATTTCTGTGGAAAGATAAAAACGCTGACTTGAAAGTTGACAGGCAAGCTACTTGTAGCCCTTGTTTGTGTAGGCCATAACACATTCAAAAGCCACTCGATTCTAAATGAAAGTCGAGTGCGTGGCGCACTCAGAAAGGACTGATCAAAGCCAGAAGCTATTTTATTCGAAGAGGGTTCTGTTCTTGGGTAATTAATATAATGCTCTTTTCAGAAAGTTCAACTTACCGCGAAATGTTCAACCGGAAGGAGTGTCAAGTAAGCTGACCAGTGATGGAACACTTACAATTGAGGCTATTCCCCTGAGACCAAAGGTAACTGACTAGTTCACACTTTGTCTGGAACAGATGGAACGGCTCCTTTTATTGAAGGAAGGCTCTCCTGCACGTGCGATTCCAATCAAAATTGTGGGTGGAGGAACGCCAGCTCAAGCATCGCCTTCAACAGAAACGAAATCAGAGGAAGCCAAATAACATCGCCCATGGCACCTCTACACTTCTTGAAGCCAATGAAAAATCACTATGAATTAATGAACGTTCTCATGTTCATGGCCGCTTATGTGCACTGAATAGCAGCCCTGTATATTTTATCTTTCGTTCGAATGAGATCAGTCCATAATTTGTTATAGATATATGTATTTCCTATACGTCACTATTTTCTAAGTCAATTGTGCCATAAATAAAAGTATTCCCAGAACTTTCACAGTCAAAACATCGCGAGCAGACCGTGCCGTGCCTTGCGTTTCTTAGTGAATCGCATTGTCGTTAACTGTCCAGGTAGCAGTCCCACTGAGAGTACTAGCCAAGAGAATGAGAGAACACTGAAAATGTGCAGTGGTTTTCTTGGGTTGTCAGGTGAGAATATACTTGTGACACTGTCCATTAACTAGTAGTAGTTTCTAGTTACATTGTCCAAGGTAGTGCTTTAGCTCCTTTTTGAAATCAATTGCTCTTGGTGCGAATGCCGCGCACATGACATCACTCACGCCGCGTTCGTACTTCGCGAATTGACAGATTTCGTCACGAGGTTCTGACTGACTGTCAATCAGTAGACCTCCACAGAGATTAGAGGCAGTTGGCACTATAAATCCCTGAAGACGAGTAGGACTGATACGCCTAGCAGAACGGAATTGCGTGAACCTGGACAGGCGCTGCATAGCGCCTTTTCCGAGAAAAGTACCCTTATGCACCCTGTACGAGTAGGCAAAAAACTACGAACCCGGAGCTTCCACCTCGCCCGCCCGCCTACTCTGCGACGTTATAGCCATTCACAGCACGAGAAACGTGAATCGCATTGTCGTTAACCGTCCAGGTAGCAGTTGTGGGCCGCCCGTGCCTGCGTGTAATGTAATGTAACGTAGAGCGACGTAGAACGTACTGCTGGCTTCTTGCTAGCAGTAAACGATTCAATCGGTAGACTCGTCCAAAGCAGCGCCGCCCCAGCCATTCGCTCGTCCACTGCCGCAGTGCAGCGGAGAAATTATGCCCCCTTTCGATGGTTTTTTCCCAAATTTCGCTTCCTTTTTTTTCACGTATTTTGCATTACGCTGGGACATCTTTGCTCTTTTTCAAGGTGTACTGAAATTACCGGGTGCCAACTGGGCCAAGTTCCATCCTCATCCTTCCATCTGATTGATATTAGGCGATGCCAGGGAGTGGAGCGATAGTCAGTCGCAATCGCGCGAATCCCATTCCCCAAATCGCGTGACTCATCGAGTCGGAAACTATGAAAGCAACTTGCTTGCTGCGCCTTCGGCGTGACACTGCGAATCGCTCAACGGATACCGATTGCGTGGCCCAATGCACTCGTATAGGTCTGATGGGCACACTACCATCCTTCAAGAAGCTGGTCTATTCCGCGGGTTCAACGTTCACTTTTCGTGCTTTCTTACGTATGGTTTTGGCCTGCTTGAAGATTCAAGTACAGCTCGTAGTGTCTTCGGCAATAAACCTCCAGCCTGTCACCAAGGAACTACTTGAGGTTGAGTCTCGCCAATGAACTAGCACCTCCTTGCTCAAACATGCACTTGCACTCAAACATCTTCCGTATTGTTCCGTCACGGGTGAAGAACATCATGCTGACGAAGCCGCTCCCCTTCACCAGGGTCATTTTTGTCCAGTCGTGTTTTCACTATCAAATCAACACTGCAGTCAGCCATTGTAATGAACTCTCCGTGTTACTCCTATATCCCAATGGCCGCTGATAGGTACTCTCAAGCAGGGGTTCCCCTTTTAGCGCCCTAGTTGACCCGCGGTTCCTGGAGCACCCAGCCGCGTCATCTTTCCGTCAAATTTGACAGGAACTGTTGTTCTTCAGCTACCCAACGACTGAGCCCTGAGCGTGATTTCTGAGGATTTGCAATGATACAGTGGATTCTTTCGGCACATGGACATTCACAAATCCACCTATTTACTTGTCATGCCCGCACAGGTGCGCCACATGGTACACTCCACATCTCCTAAGACACGGTAGGAATACTGTGCATTTTATACGAGCATGACGTATAGCGGTTGATTTCAGTTAAAACAATTGCCATCTTGTCTTAGTTTGGACATGATTACAATAGCCTCAGGAAGAAAATATACCTCAAAAGCACAATCGCTGTCACGTTCGAAAGAAGTACTCAGCAGGATGAACAGAGGAATACGAAAGCGAATGTGTTACAAAGTGAGACAAGCAAGGGGTATGGCGAAAAGCCCAAACAGGCTCGAGTTGTCGGTGATCCTCAGTGCCTATGAAGGGGAAATAGAACAATTTTCTTCATTTCACTCTTGAACGCGTCAGTAGTCGTTGACTTCTACTGTTCTGCTAGCAGTGACTGGACCCGACTACCTGGTTCAACCGCTCTTGTTCACTTTGGGACATTGCAAAAATAACGAATCGATGCGACTTTCAGAAGATAAAAGATGAAGTCTTTGCAGCTGATTTCTGGGATGCAGTGCGGATCCCACTTCCGTTGGGAACCGTTGTGGCTCATTGA